CCTTACCTTACCTTACCTTACCTTACCTTACCTTACCTTACCTTACCTTACCTTACCTTACCTTACCTTACCTTACCTTACCTTACCTTTTACCTTACCTTTACCTTTACCTTTACCTTTACCTTACCTTACCTTACCTTACCTATTCTTTTCTTTCATCAAGGGCCAAATAGGCGGGCATTAGAGAACTGCTTGCTCTAGGGAGATAAATGCTGTATTTTGAAGGACTGCTTGTGGTGTGGACACTTAGCATGCTGCAGCGTTTAAGGAATTGGAATAAGTTGCCAAGTATTTTTACCTTTGTTCCTGAGTATTTCTTAAGGCATTCACACATATACAGAGTTACGTTTGAAATACATACATTTCACTACTTTTATTAGAACGTTTTACAAGTAACGTGAATGTACCATTGCTATTTGGAGCCAGGTTTTGGTGTGTGATTTAAGATGACTATACTGGTGTAGGTCCCGTCTTATTTATTTTATACATCAGATTGACATTCAGAGACTTTTTTTCTGTTCTCAACTTTAAAAATTAAAACATGTGAAATAATTAATAACGGTTTTTATATTTTCAAGACACTAAATAAGCACTTAATTGTGATTAGGAGTATGAAAGGCATTATTATTTTTTGAAAGTCACCATTTTCCAGTCCCTCTTCCTCCCTGTGAAATGCATTTTCTCACATAGTACTGAGAAAATAGTAAATGCCAGAATAAATCACAAAATAAAAGTATAATATTTCAGTGCAGACTTTTTTCTTTCTGTGCTAAGATTCCCACCTATATTTCACCCGATAGATTTCCAGGCCGTTCTCACTGCCAAACTTGTTTTCTCTGCAAGACAGGGATGGCTTGCAAGGAACGATATTAAGCAGCGGCTGACCCACTGAATTGCCACCCCCACGCCCATCGCGTGCGCGTGCACACACACCCACACGCGCGAACGCAGACCCCATTCCTTTTAAATAACCAGCCCGTTTCCTCCAGTGACCCATTACTTAGGAAATCTTCCAGGGCACAATCAACTTGGAGATACAGGTACACCCGAGGTGGTACTGCTTCCATCTAGAGTTCCTTTATCATGCCTGCCTTCTGCCTTCAGACCTGGGCCAGACCCGTTTCTTTCTCCATGAAACACTCCACGTTCCCTCTACCCACTCCCGTTAACCTGTAAGCATAGTAGGACCTCTAGCTTTGGAATCACATTACATTCATTTTCTTAACAACTGACTATTGAGTCTAACCCTTCGAATCTGTCTTTTCCATTTACTAGTTGTGCCCTTGACCATGCTGCTCAATGTCTGTAAAACATTTTCTAAATCAAATATTAACTTCCAAGGATGTGACGGTTAAGTGGAGCTTAGAACAGTGCCAAGCGTATCCAAAAAACTTACTGAAAGGTAGTAAATTATGATACTTCCAGGAGTCAGAACCATGTGCATTTTATGTTGGCATGGTAATATAGTAATGAGTGGTTTTAGAACAGTTCTTTTAATTTGCTTGTGAACCCCCAAGATAATTTTTATCAACCTCTCCCCTTTGCACATGTTTAGGTTGCTTTCTAGCATTTTACATCACACTTCCAAGTAGTTGAAAAGGAAGCAATATTCCACTTGGTATAGATACTGACATTTTAATATAAAATTGGTACATCACTCTTAACTGTATCCAGAGGAGTGTAATATCACACTTTTATATCAATCACCATCAGTTAAAAAAATACATGGTATTTTACATAGTTCTTTATTCTTAAAATTGTACTTTGATTTTTATCTTCCCCCAACAGAACATAATCTTAATGTAATTTATTCTTGAAAGCTTTTTATTATCATTAGTAAAAATATTTATAAATTGAAACCAAGTTTTTAAAATTTTCCTGTGACTGTAACTCTGGAATTTTTTTTCTTCTGGGTTGAATTATTCCAAGTAGGAATAGTTGTTCAGAACAGCATCATGCCTGATAGATTTTGATGAATAATAATTAATATGAAGGGTAGAAATCTTGTAGAAATTTATGTCTTAATGAGATGGAGAATTAGAGCTGTGCTTATGTTAAAATTGATACCTTTCACCTTTTTTGGACTGTTCTATCCCAGTGGCTTTTCCATCCTGGGGTAATGCAGCATGGTAAAAATAGGAATGGCTAAGAGGTATGACTTTATTTCGTAAAGATTGTGAAAGGAGCGGGAGAGAGAAAAAAACAGCGTAACTGGACTGTAAGCTTATCCCGGGCACATCAGTTTAGCGGAGTGACTAGGTGGAAGCGGAGGGCTCTGGAAGCTTTTTTCTTAAGATTATACATGTTGGAATATGTTCCCCTGAAAAATCTTCATGTGCCACAGGGTACGAGTCCCCACCTGAAGACCATTCAGAGCCGCAATTATCAATATGGATGATCTTCCTGCCCAGGGCATGTTTCAGACATGTTTGGGGGTACGCTCAGCGGCCCAGGGCAGGTGAGGGGGGTGCCGCTGGCTTCTAGTGGCTTCAGTGGTAGAGACCGGAAGTGCCGGTAAGCGTCCTGCCGTGGATTCCCCAGCCCCAAATGCAGTCAGACCCAGAGCGGGAAGCTCTGCTTCAGAGGATTCGTTTCGGAACCAGACTGTAACTCTATAGTCTAGGGCAGTGGATCAGTAGACTTTCTAAAGTGCCAGACAGCAAATAATTTTTGGCTTTGTGGGCCGTATATAATCTGTTGCATATCCTTGTTTTCATAAGCCTTGAAAAATGAAGGGTAATTCTTAGTCCCAGGGCCTTTCAAAAACAGAGGACCTAGGATAATTAACCTCTCTGAACCTCAATTTTTTTCACTCCAAAGTAGTAATAATGCCTCAGGAGTTGTTTTTAAGGATTAAATGGACATTTCTAGCATAATGTCCAGCACACATTAAACATGCTGTAAATTATGCTTGGTAATGTTGGTGTCACGTAGCTTATAACAAAAAAGTGGGTGCCAAGTCACCTTATTCAAGTCAACTGGACAAATGCAGTGATGCTGGTTAAGTTACTAAATTCGCTCACACAAGCCTAAATTTAGCCTTTGCTGTGTTGCTTTCTGAACTCTGAGCCCCCTTGTACCCTAAGGAAGGTCAAGTGCAGAATACCTATCCCTTGGTTTCCGAGGGAAGAAAGGCGTGGGATCTGTGGAAAGGGGAGGCATTGTGATGACATGGCAACAGAATAGAATTCCAGGGAAACGGGCTGTCAGTTCTGCTAGGGGGTTTGGGTAGGGCTTGGAAGGTAGGTCTGGATATGGTCCATTGTATATGATGTTTTCTAAATCAGGGAGTGTATTCTTTTCACTGCTGTGGGGCTGCTTCATGAAAAGGCTGTGACCAGTGATTTTGTTGCTGGGCAGCCTTGTCTGGGGAGGTCTCTCCCTGTGCGCCAGGTGAAACCTCAACCCAGACAGAGGAGGGCTCTTGACTGATGGGGAAAGAGTTCTCAGTCAGGCCAGGCAAGGGCCAGCATAAAGGAATTCATTAAAGTGAGAGTGGTAGTGAACGCAAGTAGCCATGTGGGAAGCGGAGAGCAGGGAGCACAGCGGGGGAAAGAAGGTTGGTGGAGCTCCTGCTCAGCGTGGGGCGAATGCCTAGTCAACTCCTAATCCTAAAGCCAGGGGCGCCTGGAGCCCAGTGTCCCCTTGATCTGGCCAGTAAGGGAATTATATCCCTACCACCCTAGAATCTGGGGGAGCCTTGGAGCACTGGATGGAGTGAGATTATGTTCTGAGAACTTCCTTTTCCCTGCTGGTCTGAAATAAAACGGGGAGAGAAAAAGGATCGTGTTGAGACTAGAAAGCTGAATGAAATAGCAAAGTGACAGAGACACTTTCCTCCAGAGTGGGAGGGCGGTGAGTTCTTGTCTTTGCCATGGAAAAAGAGTGAAGAGACGAAGGGCAATAGGCTTATTATGCACAAGAACATTTATTTGATAAGGCAGTACACACTCAGGAGTGCAGGCAACCTTCGGAGGTGTGGTTTAGGGTTTGGGGTGTGGTAGGGCCTTTGGGGGAGGGGTCTGCATAAGGCATGTGGTATACAGGTGATTTCATAATTCCTTTGAAGTTTTGTTTTAAGAATAGGGTTATTTAGGTGACTGTGTTGATCTGAAGCTCAGCGTTTTTTACCCACATAGGTTCATTTACACTGTGGAGGTCTGTCTCTCTTCCTGGTTACAAAGTTACTTGCTGAAGGGACTGGAAGAAGGGAAGGACAGCATGTAGATTAAGTTAAAGAATAAGCTGGGCCTTTTTCTCAGGCTATAGATTTTACGGTGGCATGACCCTTGTTCCATTTCCCTGCTCAATCTCAGTTTATTTTTCAGGTTAGAAAGTATGGTTATCACACTCAGAAGCTTGGCCACAGTTTCTATGATGCTTTTTCTAGTACAGTTTTTTGCTAAAATAGTTTTGAATCATTTAAATCATCCTATCATAAATTTAATAAGATCACATGAAAAGAATCTCTAAACTGCAATGTCTACTGACAGTAGGCTTACATCACTGAAATTAATTCCAGATTCTTTTTACTTTTTTATTTTGGCTGTTAGAAAATTTTAAATTACACATGTGGTTCACATTGTTATCTGTTAGACAATGCTGCTCTAAGGATTCTGTTTGCTTTTAAAAATTAGTATTTTTTTACCATGTACATAGTAATAACAATTAAATGTTTTTATAAGGCTTGCAGTGAAAAGCAGAGGTCCCACCACACCAACCTAGCTCCTTCTCCCAAAGGCAACTTGTATCCGTTTTCTTACGCCATCCTTTTGGTCTTTCTGACTAACTCTCTAAACAGGATGAATATATATTGCCACTCCTAATTTTTCAGTGTTTTAGGTATTGTGCATTAATTTCCTAGTAGGAAAGATGAAGTTTTAGTTCTTTTATCCTATACCACATGCACACAAATTTTCTATCCATTTATCATCTCCCATTTTTTTGATATAGTTTTATAATAGTTTTGCTTGTATCAAGACTTATTGTTTATATATCATGACACTAATCAAAACTGAAATATGCAGCACCTTTCTAGGTAAGCATCTTTCTAGGTAAGCATCTTGTTTTTCCTGGAGTTAATGATTGTCTTGATTTTTATTCCCTTAGTTTTCTGTGTATTTGTCAATGATTAAACCCTGAGTACTGCTGTAGTTGTGTGGATCCCTTCTCAAATCTTAGAAACACACTTGCTATTCTACCAGTAGAGACCTATCTTCAATTCCAGTGTGAACTGGTTGCATAATTGTCATTTGGGGAACTCCCACCATCAGCCTTGGATTCCTTTCCACAAACACGGGATCTAAGCCAAGATGTAATAATGACTGAACAGTCACTTGGCTGGGTCTGCAAGTTATATTTCATTCTTCATCCTCCCTCTTTGTCCTTGTAATGGACAAAGAGGAGTTATGGCTTTATTATTTACCTGTTTTATTAGGGATAACATAACATGCATACAGTGCACTAATCCTAAATTTACAGCTTAATGATTTTTTAATGTATGTATACATTCATGTAATCATCACTCAAATCAAGATAGAGACCATTGCCTTACACTGTAAGGTCCCTGCATGTCCTTTCAAGTCTATATCCACCACCTGTAATCACTGTTTTCATTTCTATCATCATAGACTAGTTTTGCCTTTTCTCAACTTTGTTTCTGTAGACTCATGTAGGGTGTAGTCTCTATGAAATCATCTGTATCTGGCTTTTGCTCAAAGAATTGGTGAGCTTCATTGGTGTTGCAGGCACCAGTTTTTTGTTTTTAATTCCTGTGCATTATTGTGTAACTATATTACTATTTATCCCTTCTCCTGTGGGTGGACATTTGCATTGGTTCAAGTTTCTGACTTTTGTGAATGAAGCTGCTTTGAATATGTCGTCCATGTTTTTAGTGTGTATAGTCATTCATTTAGGTATATACCGCCAAGTGAAATTGCTGGGTCGTAGAGTGGGTGCATGTTTATTTAGCGTTAGTAGAAATTGCCAATTTTCCAAAATGGCTATACCATTTTTCATTTGCACCAGCAAAATATGAGAGTTCTAATTGCTGTCTCCCCAACACCTGTGGGTCTTTCCAGTTTTAGCTGTATGATAAAATATAGTCATGTTGTGGGTTTTAGTTTCATTTCCCTGAGGGAATAGTGTGTGACACATCTTTTCACATGCCTTTTAAATACCTCTTTTATCAATTACCTGTTCATGCCTTATTTTAATAAAAAGAATGGCTTTACCTTTTTAATAATCTTGTTAGAGTCATTTTAATGGAGGTTTAGAAGGGACCAGGGCTGTCTGGGTATGAGTAACCTACCACCTTTAACTGGAAGTCAGGTAACTTTATCCAAATATCATTCAAATATTTTTCCTCATTTCTGTCCTCCATTGTGTGTCAACCTCATGTTTAGTTATTTGGATATAATCTGGATTTATATTATAGTGAAGTTTAGAATGAGACTCTGGATCCAACCTTAAAGACATATGATAGGAAACTCTGAGCAGCAGCTGTATTCTGACTTACTCTCTTCTGTCTTTAATTAAACATCTCTAGGACCAAGCGCATTACTACCTGTCCCTGTGGCAGGTGCGTTCTGAGCGCTTTCTCTGTGTCGCGGCAGATAGGAGCGGAGGGAGGACCCCGGTGAGCAGGACGGCGGCCGGGCTCCTGTCCGCGAGATACATTCAGGTAGGAGGAACGCATGACAGGTAAACAGATCGTTGCGCCCCGTTTCCTTGAGTCCCCGGGGTGGAGCCGCAGCCACCAGCCTCAGTGGGACATGTAAGAGCAACACAGGTCTTTATTGCTAGTTCCAACTAGGGTCTCAGTGGCCCGTCAAAACACAGGACTCGGTCTGAGACCCTGAACAAAGTTCCCTTTTCTGCGTTTATACTGTAGCAAAAAACAGGTAGGGGCTTTCCAACGGGGGTGGTTTATTGTGACCTTAGCTGATTGGCTGACGGAGGGTTGCTGGGCAAGGTTTCCGCGGGAATGGGCGTGGCTTAAGCGGGAAACTCAAAATGGGGGACGCAAAACAAAATGGAGGGACATAGTTATTCAAGATGGCGGACACAAAAATGGAGGCGGGGGTCATGTAGGGGACACAGCTATTCAAGATGGCGGACACAAAATGGGGGCACATATTCAAGATGGGGGACAAAATGAAGGCAGGGTCCCACAAAATAGCTACATAACACACTTAAACATACTATTTCCTGTTGTGCAGACATGGAGGAAGAGCCGCAAAATGGAGAATCTGCTGAAATTAAGATGATAAAGGAAGCCTACCACAAGGCCTTTGTGTATGTTGACAGGGGCCTGACTACGGATGAATCAGGGAGGAAGGAGGAAGCAAAGAACTACTACAAGCAAGGAATAGGGCACCTCCTCCGGGGGCTCAGCGTCTCCCCCGCGGAGCCTGAGCGCGCGGGGCCCGGCTGGGAGCTCGCGGGGCAGATGCAGCAGCAGATGCGGGGCGCCCTGCAGAACGTGCGCGCCAGGCTGGAGATTCTGGAGAAGGGCCTGGCCCCTTCCCTCCGGGGCGAGCTGCGGGAGGCGCCCAGGCTGTGCCCGGAATTTCCGCCCAAAGACACGCCGGCCGCGAGCCCCGCGCCGCCACCCGTCAGCGCCCCGCCTCAGCCCGCCGACGGGGGCGCCCCCGCGCCGGCCGCCCGCGCACAGACGCCCCCCTGCCCCGGCCCCGCGGAGGCGCCGCCCGCCTACACGCCCCAGGCCGCCGAGGGCCACCACACCGTGTCGTACGGCGCCGCGCCCGGGGAGCTCGCGGTCGGAGCGGGCCTCTGCGGGAGCCGCGCGCAGCCGCCGCCCCTGGAGGCGCTCGGGCCGGACGCCGACGAGCTCCTGCTGATCCCCAGCGGGGTGCAGATCTTCTTCGTGAACCCTGCCGGGGAGGTGAGCGCCCCCTCCTACCCCGGGTACCTTCGGATCGTGAGGTTCTTGGACGGGTCTCTGGACGCGGTGCTCGGCCGTCCGCCCGGGCTGCTGCAGGTGAGCCGGGCAAGACGGAAGCGGGGTCTGCGGTGTGGGTCGGGGTGGTCATGACGTGCCCGGGCCAGTCACGTGCGGAGGGTCGCTGCGAGTTCTAGTTCCTCCCTAAGTGTATCCCGCGAAGTTCGTGCGCCTTGAGGGTCTGCGCTTTTGTGTTGGTAGCCTTGCCTTTTCTCTTTTTTAAGATATAAATAGTGGTTCTCATGCACGGGCGAGGCCCACCTTCACCTCCTGGGGGCCTTTGGGGGTCACACCTGGGACGGGGAGTGTGCCGTAATGTGGGCAGAGGCCAGGGACGCAGTTGAACTTCCAGACAGGTCAGCTCTCATCTGTTCAAGAATTTTCCGACCCAAAATGTCAGTCATGCCAGGTCGAGAAACCCTGGCCCGGGAATAGAGGCACTGACGGTTCAGGCGGAGCTCCAGCATGGCCGGCAGGTGAGTCTACCGGGGTGCCCGTGGCCTGCGAGCGAAGGCCGGCGCCGCGTCACGGTGGGGGCCGTGGCGTTGCTGTGGAGTCAACGGGGCGCCCTGAGGGTGGCGGCCCAGAAGGCCCGGCAGTGACACGGGGACGCGGCGCCGCTGGGCTGCGGAGGGAGCCCGTCCCGAGGCCGGCGCTGCCCGCGTGCGGCGCCCCTGCGGGCGCGCTCCCAGGCCTCGGCCAGATCTTCCATGGAGCGAACTCCAAAGCTGTTGAAAGATAGCCGGGGACTTCTGAGGAGTGTATGGAGCGGGTATTTGGAGGCCTCGTTGAAAGGAGACTATTGTTGGACAGGGAAAATACTGTGAATCCCATAGGCTATTTCAGGAAGGAGGCCTTGACATGAAAAAGGCTCATTGTGAAGAGGATCACAAAAGCTCTGGTACCTTCTGCGGATCTGGTGATAGAGCTGCATTGTGACAGTGGAGGTTTTTAAATCTCTGGGGCCTGGGATACTGGACGTGTGGACGATGAGCATCGGAAACACGACCTGGGTGCACGAGTTCAACTGTTACTATGACTTGTGCTCTAGTAAAAATTTGTCTTCCGTGCTTTTGTTTTCAATCTTTCTAATACCTCCTAATGTTGGCCCTAAATAAAAAGTAGAATCGTACCCAAAGTTAAATTTGAGCCTCTCTAAGGCTCTCATTTGCCTGCATTCGATTATTTGTAGCAGTGGGCATTACCATGTGTTTGCTGAATGTTTTTGTTCTAAAAACACTCCGAGTTTAAGAAGTTAGATATGATTTATTTCTTATGCTGCAAAAATCCTTATTGGTCTTTTTAGGAAATCAGACATTAATTTGGTTTTCAGTAGGCAGTCTTAGAATTCTGGGACTTCTAAAAACTATTTTTCTCTTGATTTTAGTTTTAACATGCTTTTTATAGGTGTGTTATAAACGTTATTTTTAAACCTATTAAATTTGTAGCCAGTTCATACAGAATAAGATGCTAAGTTCGTAAGATCGCCCCCTGAAAGTGCACCCTGGAGAGATCAGCCTGTGGTGGAGACCCCACCAATCCATAAAAATTTACCCTGAGCAAGGTGCATAAATGATGAATTACTCCAGTTCAAAGTGACCAGAATGTGATTAATTTTAAGGATAAACACGGTGTATGTAGTAAAAGAAACCTTCTCCAAACTACGCATTTAAGTATAACCTTTACATATTTTTTGGTCAAATTCATACTTCTGCTATTACTTTTAATATTCTCTTTAAATGTCTCACTTAATTTCATCCTAAACTGTAATGACTGTGAAATTGAGGAAAAGATGTTGCATTTTTTCCTGATACATTTTAAAATACATTAACTAGTCAAATTTAAATAGTTTGTGTTATTACTTGAAATCATTTAATATACCACATGTTATAAATCATACTGTGGAAAACACAGTAATTGGTTCTGTTCTAACTTGTCTGAAATTTGATTTTTATAAACGATGGAGAATGGTACTTGAGATGATTGAAAAAAAAAAAAGAATTTGAAAATGTCCATTACGTATTTTCCAGGAAAGAGTCAGACTTGAGTACTCTGATTCTTGCACATTTCTATTCTGTTGGTCAGAAATGATGGTTGTATGCCAGCATTTTCCGCTGGTTGTATGAAAACATTGTGCCCTTTGACTCATGGTCACAATACATATTTTGATAACTGTCCTTATAGGTTTCTTAATATTAGGAAGACAGTGTTCTGGATGAAGGGCACAATTATATTCTGGTCACTCAAAGAATGTATCTCATGGAAATGAGTACATTTGGAAATTCTGATTCAAACTTAATTTCTTCTGAATTTAGATCTCTGGGTGAGCTGTGAGCCTGAGTCTTAATGTTCTGACATTCTGACCTCCCTAACATGACATTGCAGGACAGCTTTGTGTCACTTTGATTGAACTTCACAGGAGGTAGTGAATCCATAAATATAAATTCATGTTATATTCTAGTTCTGTCATAACAGGTTTGGGTTTAGTAAAAAAAAAAATTTTAACACTATGAACACTGGATATCTAATTAAATTGTTTGGCTTCTCTGGTGCCAGATTGCATGTCTTTAAATCCCAATTTGGTTAACCTCTCTGTGCCTCAGTTCTCTTGTACATGAAATGACAATGCTAACCAATTTCATGGAATTGTTGTGAGGATTAAATCAATAAATACATGTAGAGTACTTGAAAACAGTTTGATTTTACTTATTTTCGCAGAGGGATGTCTGATTTGAATAATAAAAACTTTATATTGACTATTATTCATTTAAAGCTAGACTATTTTTGGCTAACAGTGGGCTTATTTAAGGCCACCAGTTTTAAGAACTGTGTAATTAGTGGAGCAGTAACATCTTTCCAGTTAGTACAGTTCCTGTGAGTGGTTTGCAGGAAGATCAGACTAGCAAATACCTAATTTTTATTGAGGATTTGTTGATAATGATAGGTATATTTCACAGCCTTGTAAAATGCATTTGAGACTGCAAAATGTTTATTTTATGGCACAACAATTTTTACAACTTCTGTAAACACCTCATTTTTCTATTCATTGATTTTTTTTTTTTTTACCTAATCTTTCAGGTTTGTGACTGGTTGTATCCTCTAGTTCCTGATAGATCTCCAGTTCTTAAATGTACTGTGGGAGCCTACATGTTTCCTGATACAATGTTACAAGCGTCTGGATGCTTCGTGGGGGTCGTTCTGTCTTCTGAATTACCAGAAGATGATAGAGAACTCTTCGAAGATCTATTACGACAAATGTCTGACCTTCGGCTCCAGGTAACTTGATTGATTATCTTCAGGATGAAAATCCACTGTAAGATAAGCACTTGTGCTTTGAAAGACACGGCAGTAGGCTCTTCTGGGAACCGAGGTCGGAGACTGAAGGGTTGTGAGTGACGCGGGCCCTTCCTCGGGGCGGCCGGTAGAGCTCTGTGCGTGCTGGCCCTCGGTATCACCACTCTTGCTGCTCAGTTGGAAAATTGAGCTAGTGAGACTCAGTGTTGGACATTTGAGGGATGGTTGGCATTTTGAGGAAGAAATGGGTTTTGTTTGAGGGAATTATCTTTGTTTTCATGGCACTTCAAGAGCAAATAAAGAGAAAATAAAGTGTGACTTAAAATGTGGCCAGTCCTCCTCATTAGCTTGTTTCCTCAGCCAACCTGATTACTAGGTGTTCTTGTCCATCCTGATGTAAGACAAGAGGGGAAAAATATTTTTTATTGTGAATATTGATAGTTATCTGGGGTCGAATGAGATTGACAGCCTGCTGGTATAATGTTTTATTCTCCTTCGATCAATAGGTATTTAGAATCCATTATTTAACCAGGTACTGTGTTAAGTGGGATGGGAAGAGAGTTAGAACAGGAGACCTGTAAAGATACATATATAACAACTCCTATTCTCTAGCACCTTATACTCTGTTAAATATTCACAGAACAGTGTGACAGGATTAAATAAAAGTGTATACAAAGTGCAGGAAGGTGATTGGAGAATTTCACAAAATAGTTTCCTTTGAGTTTAGTCTTAAAAGATTGCTCTCTATTTTCTCAGGAAGTGGAATACACTTCAATCCATACCTATATTCAAAAGATCAGAGATGTTCAACAGCTGAGTAAAAGGTCAGAGAGTCATCTCAGCATTAGATTATGTGACCTTTATATGAGAATGACCTGGTGATCAACATATACTTGAGCATAGCCCGTGCTAAACATTGAAGCTATGTTAACAAGTTAGAGGATCCCCATTTGGAAGTGTGTGTAGCCTCAGCGGGCTCATGGATAGGAGTTTACAAAGGCAGGAACATGGCCAAATGGATATGGGTCAAGTCTTGCTGTTACTGGCTGAATGCAGTGACATTCTTAAGTATTCTAGACCTAGTATGGAGCTGTTTCTCCCTTCACCCTCAAACATTCATTGGACCTTTATTACTGGGCTTCAGCAAATAAATTAAACTAACTTTTAAGTTATATGTTTACTTTGTTCAGTTTTATTTTTGGTTGCGTGTTTACTCTATAGTCTCAGAACTCCCCACTATAAAAAATTAATTACTAGCTATCATTTGACTTGTCTTTACTCTTAAGCATTCATTCAACAAAGTGTATGCCAGTAGAAAACCTCTGCTATTAAATTCAAAACAAAATCAGCCTTCCCACAATGCAGAGTAGTTAAACTGGATGTTTTTTTGTTAATTGCCTATAAGCTAATTTAGTCTTATATGTGTTTCCTAATATGTATTAGTTGTTACTTAATTAAATACAAGCGTAGCTCCATCATTTATCAATAACATATCGATAACTGCTATAAGTTTATATTTTATACTTTGTCTTTTGAAATTTGCTTTAGGCCATATTTAGGTTTGGTGATGGGATAAAAAACCAGAGTATAGGGGAAAGGCAAGTGAAAGTAGTTGTGCTTGTAGAATCCAAACGCTGACATTTGAACAAGTGTATTACTAGAGCCTTGTGTACCACAGCTCAGAGGAAAGCCATCTGCGAAAATTTGCCTTTGAGCTAAACTTAGACTTTTACTCCCAAGGCCAACTGGAACCGGGCAGAGGGGGAAGATGAATTCCAAATCCCAGGAAGAGAAAGATCCTCCTGGGACCAACTGAAGGAAGCCAGTGACACCGATGTGAGAGAGTTGGGCCCTTCATTGGACCAGGATAGTAAAGATGTACGTCATAAAGGAAAACGGGGGAAAAAGGTAAGGAAAATAAGTAAAAAAGGCAAGAAGGGGTGTATGTGGGTTCTATTCCCATGGTGCCTTTCACTGGTTTCAATTATTTATAAGATCTTAACTCTGTTTACTAAAATAAAGCAACCTGCAGAATCACAGAGATCACTGGTAAGATAATTAGAATCAACTTTAATATTTCCCTTTGCAAGTGTTTGTTACTTAAACTATTTTAAAAGATACTCTATTTTGAGGTATAGATTTCTTTTTAACTATTTGGAAGGTCTTTATAGTTACACTAATGACACGTATTCTTTTGTATTGTTCTCCGCCTTCCTGTGCACCAGCTTCTGAGCAGAGGTGTGCTTTTTCCTTACGCTGCCATTTTTATTCAGCTCCATATTTCCTCATGGATGGTCACCAGGACAGAGAATGTGTTTTTAAACATGTTTAGTAGTTTCTTGTATCATGTCTCACATTCTGAGTTTATGATATTCTCTAAATGGTAAATTTGGATTAGAGTTCAGTAAATATTTGAGTGTTGGAAGGCTGAGCTTAGTGGAAAAAGTTTAAATTTCTTATGTCAAGGACTTCACCATCTAGTGGGGAGGACATATTAATAGGTATCTTTCCACCCAGTGTGATCATAGGTGAAGGTACATAGGTTGTATAGAAGTCTAGGTTGTAACTGCTGTCTAATGTATGACCTGGCCTCATTGGTAAGTGTGGGCATGCAGGGGGTGTGGGAAGCAGTAAGGAGGCCCCTCCTGGAGGGCATTATAGCTGAGATGAGTTCTGAAGGATAAAGAACTGGCCATACGCATCGCAGACTGGAGGGGGCTCTAGGCAGGAGTAATACAGTACAAGCAAATGTGTGAAGAAAGAAAACAGCTTTGTGTGAATATTGAATTACAGTTTGGTATTTATTGTATTCTGTATCATAAGTGTTCAATAATTATTCTTTGGAATTAATATCGCATGAATATTCTACATTGTGGTTTATGTTGAATATCTTAGACAAGTTTTATGAAGACATTAGGAGTCTAAAATTATTCCAAGAAATATATTCATTAAAATTTGTTCTTTAAGTTTTGCATAAGGAAAAAACCTCAAAAGATAGAAAAAGATAGTAATAGTAAGTCTGCCTCCCATTTTTGTCCCTCAGCCACCTAGCTCCCCATTTCAGATACATTATTAGCTTCTTATTGTTCTTCCAGGTATATTTTATGCCTGTACAAACATACATATACTCTCCTGTTTTTATTTTGTGTGTAGATAGGTATTATATACACATAATTTTTAATACAAATGGTAGCCTATAAGACATACTATTTTGCCCTTTGCTTTGATACTTCAATATACTTGGAAATTTTCTAAATACCGTTCAGACCTTCATTTTTTTAAATTGTATGTTTTAAAAATCAAATTATATAAAAAGATATGTCCATTGAAAAGCTTTACTGCCACCTTTGTCTCCATCCATACCATTCCTCCTGCCACTGTGTCTGATCACTTTTATGATGAGCCTGTGTTTCCTCTCTGGGTTCCTTAAGGCAGATAAAAGCAAGTAAAAATTGTGATTATTTCTTTCTCTTTCTTATACAAAAGGTAACATCATGTAGCATGTTCTGTTTTTGTTTTTGTTTTATAATAAATCCTGGGACTTTTGCATGTTAGTAATTAGAGAGCTTCCTCAGTAATTTTTACAGCTGCATTATATTTCATTGTGTGAAGGTCATAGTTTCTTTAACTAATTTCTTATTGGGAGATATTTGGCATGATTCCAGTTTTTTGCTCTACAAACAATGCTTTAATGCATAACTGTACATCCATTGTTCATATATTTGTAGGTAGTTCACAAGGTAAATTCTTAGAAATGGGGTTATTAAGTAAAAGATAAATGCATTTGTGATTTTGATAGATTTTGCTAAGTTGCCCACCCTAACGATTATCTACCTGCAGTGTATGCCAGTACCTTTCCCCACAGCCTGGTCATCAGGTGAGTGATCCTTCTGTATTTTGGCGGTCTGATAGATGAGAAACAGTGTATTTGAATATTAATTTGCATAGATTTTATTATTAGTGATGTTGAGCATCTGCTTAAGGATTCCTTGAATTTTGTTTCCTGTGTGATGTCTGTTCTTGTCCTTTGTCCATTTTTATTAATGGTGTTGCTAGTCTTTTTCTTCTTAATTTCCAGGAGCTCTTTATATATCAGGAGGTTGGCCCATTGTCAAAGTTAGAAGTTGCAAATATTTGTTAGTTTTCTTTGGATTTTGAGTGTCTTTTTCCCCATGTAGAAGTTTTGTTTTGTTTTTAATGTTTTATATTTTAAGTGACATTCTCTTTGTATTTCTGTTTGGGCAGTTTGATTTTCAAGTTATTTTGTAATTATGGGATCCAAGTTAGACTCCTCCTGAGTTCTTAGAATGAATAAATTAGCTTTGAGATTTTGAGTTTGGCCCTTGCGGTCATAATAGCTGTTAAATTAGCAAAGTACAGCTATTTCTGTGTCCCCATTTCCATTTGAAGGGAATGACAGGTTTGTTTATGTATTTCTTGTATAATATTTTTATATATTTTTACTTGGCTTTTACTTATTTCTATCAAAACCAGTTTATTTGACTACACCATTCCTTATTGATTGAGTCATTTAACAGAAATCTTTCAGCCTTATTAAGTACTGTGGCCTAGAGGATGATAGCTATGAGAAAAAAATGCATAATCTAGTCAATTTAAATATGATCTGATGAATTCTGTATTGGACATGTGTTGGTATTCAAATCATACTTGCCAGTGGGACCTTACTGGAGACCTGAACAGTCAACTTCATGGCAGTCATGGTGTTGTGCTTTATGTCATGAAGTGCGCTGGTAACTGAGATGACTGGGGATAGTTTTATTAATTATATCTAGTTGGCTTCATATTTTATTACATAATGCTTATAATTCTTAGTACTTTGCTGTTTCATGTTCTGGAACGTTTTTACTATTTAGGCTAAAGGTACGTCAAGTGAAGAAGTCGATCTGAGCCACATTGTACCCTGTGAACCAGTTTCAGAAGAAAAGACAAAGGAGTTACCTGAGTGGAGTGAGAAAGTGGCCCAGAACATTTTGTCAGGTATTAACAGTAATGCTAACTTCTCCCCTATAATGTGAAGCCTTTGAATCCCATAGCGGGTACTCAGAGAGTGCTTTGTATTTTGGTTCAAATTGACCAGTTCATAAATATAAAACAAAAATATGAAAGTTTATAAATATGTAAACATAAATAGAAGGAAGCAGTCTCTTAGAGCATCACATATTGTGATGTAGGTACAAAGCCTTCTTGGCCTGTTTGTCCCTATTTTCCTCTTGGGAAAACTGGCACTGAAAAGCTTCAGGAATCTCCAGACTCTCTGAGTGACTCTGAACATACAGTTATTTTTCTTTCCCCTTTGAAGTTCCCTCTTATTCCTTTTCTTTTCTAAACAGCTTTGTGTGAATATTGAATTACAGTTTGGTATTTATTGTATTCTGTATCATAAGTGTTCAATAATTATTCTTTGGAATTAATATCGCATGAATATTCTACATTGTGGTTTATGTTGAATATCTTAGACAAGCTTTATGAAGACATTAGGAGTCTAAAATTATTCCAAGAAATATATTCATTAAAATTTGTTCTTTAAGTTTTGCATAAGGAAAAAACCTCAAAAGATAGAAAAAGATAATAATAGTAAGTCTGCCTCCCATTTTTGTCCCTCAGCCACCTAGCTCCCCATTTCAGATACATTATTAGCTTCTTATTGTTCTTCCAGGTATATTTTATGCCTGTACAAACATACATATACTCTCCTGTTTTTATTTTGTGTGTAGATAGGTATTGTATACACATAATTTTTAATACAAACGGTAGCCTATAAGACATACTATTTTGCCCTTTGCTTTGATACTTCAATATACTTGGAAATTTTCTAAATACCGTTCAGACCTTCATTTTTTTAAATTGTATGTTTTAAAAATCAAATTATATAAAAAGATATGTCCATTGAAAAGCTTTACTGCCACCTTTGTCTCCATCCATACCATTCCTCCTGCCACTGTGTCTGATCACTTTTATGATGAGCCTGTGTTTCCTCTCTGGGTTCCTTAAGGCAGATAAAAGCAAGTAAAAATTGTGATTATTTCTTTCTCTTTCTTATACAAAAGGTAACATCATATAGCATGTTCTGTTTTTGTTTTTGTTTTATAATAAATCCTGGGACTTTTGCATGTTAGTAATTAGAGAGCTTCCTCAGTAATTTTTACAGCTGCATTATATTTCATTGTGTGAAGGTCATAGTTTCTTTAACTAATTTCTTATTGGGAGATATTTGGCATGATTCCAGTTTTTTGCTCTACAAACAATGCTTTAATGCATAACTGTACATCCATTGTTCATATATTTGTAGGTAGTTCACAAGGTAAATTCTTAGAAATGGGGTTATTAAGTAAAAGATAAATGCATTTGTGATTTTGATAGATTTTGCTAAGTTGCCCACCCTAACGATTATCTACCTGCAGTGTATGCCAGTACCTTTCCCCACAGCCTGGTCATCAGGTGAGTGATCCTTCTGTATTTTGGCGGTCTGATAGATGAGAAACAGTGTATTTGAATATTAATTTGCATAGATTTTATTATTAGTGATGTTGAGCATCTGCTTAAGGATTCCTTGAATTTTGTTTCCTGTGTGATGTCTGTTCTTGTCCTTTGTCCATTTTTATTAATGGTGTTGCTAGTCTTTTTCTTCTTAATTTCCAGGAGCTCTTTATATATCAGGAGGTTGGCCCATTGTCAAAGTTAGAAGTTGCAAATATTTGTTAGTTTGTCTTTGGATTTTGAGTGTCTTTTTCCCCATGTAGAAGTTTTGTTTTGTTTTTAATGTTTTATATTTTAAGTGACATTCTCTTTGTATTTCTGTTTGGGCAGTTTGATTTTCAAGTTATTTTGTAATATTATGGGATCCAAGTTAGACTCCTCCTGAGTTCTTAGAATGAATAAATTAGCTTTGAGATTTTGAGTTTGGCCCTTGCGGTCATAATAGCTGTTAAATTAGCAAAGTACAGCTATTTCTGTGTCCCCATTTCCATTTGAAGGGAATGACAGGTTTGTTTATGTATTTCTTGTATAATATTTTTATATATTTTTACTTGGCTTTTACTTATTTCTATCAAAACCAGTTTATTTGACTACACCTTTCCTTATTGATTGAGTCATTTAACAGAAATCTTTCAGCCTTATTAAGTACTGTGGCCTAGAGGATGATAGCTATGAGAAAAAAATGCATAATCTAGTCAATTTAAATATGATCTGATGAATTCTGTATTGGACATGTGTTGGTATTCAAATCATACTTGCCAGTGGGACCTTACGGGAGACCTGAACAGTCAACTTCATGGCAGTCATGGTGTTGTGCTTTATGTCATGAAGTGCGCTGGTAACTGAGATGACTGGGGATAGTTTTATTAATTATATCTAGTTGGCTTCATATTTTATTACATAATGCTTATAATTCTTAGTACTTTGCTGTTTCATGTTCTGGAACGTTTTTACTATTTAGGCTAAAGGTACGTCAAGTGAAGAAGTCGATCTGAGCCACATTGTACCCTGTGAACCAGTTTCAGAAGAAAAGACAAAGGAGTTACCTGAGTGGAGTGAGAAAGTGGCCCAGAACATTTTGTCAGGTATTAACAGTAATGCTAACTTCTCCCCTATAATGTGAAACCTTTGAATCCCATAGCGGTACTCAGAGAGTGCTTTGTATTTTGGTTCAAATTGACCAGTTCATAAATATAAAACAAAAATATGAAAGTTTATAAATATGTAAACATAAATAGAAGGAAGCAGTCTCTTAGAGCATCACATATTGTGATGTAGGTACAAAGCCTTCTTGGCCTGTTTGTCCCTATTTTCCTCTTGGGAAAACTGGCACTGAAAAGCTTCAGGAATCTCCAGACTCTCTGAGTGACTCTGAACATACAGTTATTTTTCTTTCCCCTTTGAAGTTCCCTCTTATTCCTTTTCTTTTCTCCCCTTGTCCACCTCCTGCTCCACCAAAAAATGTAAGATATTCATCCAGTTTCAGAAGCAAAGCAGCACCCCCTAAGTACACAGCAGGCCAGTGTGAGGGGGCCTGAGCTATGGCCACGCTCTCTGGGCGTAGGCTCTGCTATCTAATTATGGCTAGAAAGGGCTTCAGGTCAGTTCTTTGAAAACCAGAATCATCATTACTGACATATTTCTTTAGTTGGTTGCCATGTAAGCTTTTCAACTATAGTAGCTGTCAGATTTAGACCTTGTTTTCTTTTTTAGAAATATTGCCAAGTCATTATTCAGTAAGCCAAACTCATGACCCAATAAAAGGATCTTGACCAGTCATTTAAAAGACTGTCAGTACAGGTTTCCATCTTTGTACTAAAAACCTGTTAAAGGGGAGAAAATAAATTAGTTGAGAATGTTGCTATCCTGATCTGGGTAAATGTTCCCTTGAGTGCACACACATATCAGAATGCACCGATCTGTATGCTACGATGTGCCCATTGTACTTCCATAAAGCAATTTTAAAGAATTTTTTAGAAACCATTGAAAAGGCATCTGAAACAGAGGAAATCTTCAACATGAAAAACTTAACAAGCTAAAATAAGAGGAAAATAACTAGTTAAGAGCTAACAAAACATTTTGCCCAGTGTCAGAGAGCTGCTTGAGATAAGAAAGATAAAGCCAGATTTTTCAAATCATAACAGTTAAAATCCAACCTTAGAAAAGATTTTCAAAGAAGTTGTAGAGAAAAACCTTCTTTTTTATTACCCCACCCCCTAACTTTACAGGCTGCTAAGCTATTATTAAGTCAGTGTTCAGAAAACTTGCCCATATCCACACATGTATAGATAACTAAATCCAAAAGTCATTTTCTAAAGTTTTTTTCAGTTTATACTGCTATGAGATTGTTCCATTAATTACTGCTGTGTCACAAACCATCGCACACTTAATGACATGAACCAATAAACATTTGTTCATGCTGAGGAACTCTGTGAACAGGTGTTCCAAAAGGTCGTAGCAGGGATTGCTTGTATCTGCTCCACAACGTAAGGGCCTCTCCTTGGAAGACTCAGACTGACCAGTGACTCAGGAGTGGGGGCTGGAAGCTTCTGAAGGTGCCTTCACTCACCCATCTGGCATCGGGGTTGGGAGAGCTCAAGACCTAAGACTGCCCAGTAGAGTGTCTACAGCGTGGCCTCTGCGGCTTGCTTCCTCGCACTGTGGCAGCCTTAATTGTCCCATGAGAATTGGCTAAGCCGTCTAGACCTCTTGTAGATGTTTTTCTTCTCATGCATTCCTTAGGTATTCTCATGTCGTTTTCACTCAGGTTTATGTTACAGGCTAAAAGGTTACTGAGATCAGGGGGTCTGGGATTGAAGGAGGAACAGGACCCCCTGCCTTCTGCCTGTATCCTAAAGCCAGCCAGACAGCCTGAGATTGCCTTAGAGTTTGAGGTGTAGGCTCATTATTCATGTCTGTCTCCCTCGTGACTTCATGGGGAAGACACGGTACCTGGACTAAGTCACAAAGCACACGGATGCCTGGGCCCTCTGCCCAGTCACCGTCACCATGGCACCAAGCCCCGAGCCAGTCCCTAACGGGGGTATACTGCAATAACAGAGGGGGTGCCTACAGGGTGTCGTGGCAGCGCAGACTGTTAGAGTCTCTGACTGATACATGAGCTACATACATGAGACAGAGGATATTGGAAGAGGAATTTACTTCAGGAAACTTTATAGTCCGGGCAGAAAATCTAAGTGCAGAGTAGTTGGCTTGGAAGTCTCTGGCATGTTTGGGATCGAAACATTGAACTCCTTGGGTTTTTTCCTGTTGATTAGTTGTTTATTAAAGGGTGTAACGGTATAATCAGGTGTAATATTGTACAATTTCAAATTTTCCTTTAAAAAGGTGCTTCCTGGGTGAGTTGGAGTTTAGTCAAAGGTGCTGAATTTACTGGCAAAGCCATCCAGAAAGGTGCTTCTAAACTGCGAGAACGGATTCAACCAGAAGAAAAACCAGTGGAAGTCAGTCCCGCAGTGACCAGGGGCCTTCACATAGCAAAGCAGGCTACAGGCGGGGCCGCGAAAGTCAGCCAGTTCCTAGGTAAAGACTTCAGGCGACTTTACTTCTTCTTAGTTAAATTAAAAGTAATCTCGTCATCCAGGTTAATCTGCACACACGTGTAGCTGGTTTAACTTTATGAGTAAAGAATTAGGACAGCGGTTTCACCCCGTTACTCAGCGGGATCTATAGCAGCACCCAGCTGTCGGAGAGCATTAGACAAACTTCAGGCACTTGGCAGAGCGACTGAGTGAGAATCCACATTTTTCCAAGATGCCAAGCAATTCTTATTTGCATTTTAAATTGTGAGAAACACTGGTTAAAGGGTTATCCTTATGTGTTGGAGAGGGGAGTTCTGCACCTTTGAAAGGGAGTGGTTCTAAATGTATTTACTGTCCTTGAACCTGAAACATTCTTTTAAGAACAGGTCACTGCATAGTAGTTGAAGGTCAAGATGAAGGAATATATTGTCTGAATAAAACTGATGTAGTGATTTTGTTGTCGGCCTTCCCTCCTCTAACACCTCTCCTTTGAGGTTCACAGCTCTAACGTTTGGTATGTTATGATGGGCAGAAAGCTCCTAAGTGGATTATTATTATTTTAGTAGGATTATATTTTTGGTATTTAGTATTTGTTTGAATCAGATTTTGTTTTTTTACTTTTATATAGACTTAAATACCTTATTATTATTTCAGTGAGACATTTGCTAATATGGAGAAAAAACACAAGTAGTCTTAGCTGGAAAACACTGAAAGTAGACTTACCAGTCTTGCATTGCAACAGTCAGAAAAAATGGATGGTTTTCTTTTAAGCAAATTGCCAAAAAGAAACATTATATTTAAGAAGCAAACTTATAAGCATCAGTAGATTCTGCAAACATATCCTTAAACCAAGCAATAACTTTTGTTTAGGAAATAGCCAGCCTTGGTTCTCATCCACAAGTAGAAAGGGTAACATTATACAGTAAAACAACTTTAGATGCTCATGTAAGAATTTTGCTGAACAAGTGTAGTAAAACCAAGGGAAAAATACATTTTTTCTAAGTGTTTTATGGTTATGTGGTTTTATTAGTTGATGGAGTTTGCACTGTGGCCAATTGTGTGGGCAAGGAGCTAGCGCCACACGTCAAGAAGCATGGAAGCAAACTGGTTCCAGAATCTCTTAAGAAAGACAGAAATGGGAAGTCTGCCCTGGATGGTGCTATGGTCGTAGCAGCAAGTAGTGTTCAAGGTAACACAAAGGCCCCGAAGTTTAACTAGGATGCTCTATTTGCTTAGGGCTAGTTTACTTACTCTTAAATATATTTGCAGGATTTTCGACTGTCTGGCAGGGATTGGAATGTGCAGCTAAATGCATTGTTAACAATGTTTCAGCAGAAACTGTACAAACTGTCAGATACAAGTAAGTTGAATTTTATTATTTTCATGACTGAATCTCTTATAGCATTGTAAAAATCCAGGACAATTAAAATGATGATGTAGTTATTTTTACTGAGTATCTGGTAAAGTTTTGTCACCTGTTTTTCTTAAGTAGGGAAAAGAATAGTATTTTTAGCAAATTAACCGAATTACTTTGGCTTTGCCTTATAATACTGTTATAAATATTCGTTCGTCATTAATGCAAAGAATAGATTCGGAGTTTCTGAATGTCTTATTTACTGCATGTTCTTGATGAGTGATGTTTGCTTATGGTTTTGATGGGAAAAACTTGAATTATCATTAGCTATTGTACCTTGTTAGTATCAGCCCCTTGCGTTACAAAGAATGTAAAATCTTGTCACATCTTATTTGACTCTTACTGTACATTTGTATTGGAAGGGACAGATGTTGTCTTCTATATCATATATTAGGAAATGGACATAGAAATAAATGATATTCCCAAGCTCATCTTCTAAGAGGCATTAAAGATGAGGCTTAGAACAGGATCTTTTGATTTTAGTTCTTTGTTCTGACTCAGCAAGTCCTAGAGGAATCAAGGTCTAAAAATTAACTCTTGTATGAAGAACCTGAGTTGCTTGCTTAGCTTTGAATTAGTTTCGATCTTAATATTTAATGTTTATTTAGAAAGAAAAAAGCAGTGTTAGTGGTGTTCTGAACTCTTCGTTCTTTGTGTTAGTTATCCACTCACTGACATTTGAGTTCCTACTAATGTATCAGACACTGTGTTCAGTGTTTCTCATGTGTATTACTTAATCTTTAACACTATTTTCTCCACTTTTACATATGAAGAAATCAAAGCATCGAAGCTGTTGAATACCCTGCTAAACGTTATACCCCTCATAAGTGGAGAGCTGGGATGTAAGCCGGGTCTGTGTTATGCAGTGCCAGGCACCAGTGCTGGGCCACCACGGCTTCTCATGGACATCGGTGCAAATTTGGTGTCTACAGTTGGTCTCCACCACTCTCTCACATGTTCAGATTCCCTCCCACCACAGTAAATTATCTTTGGCTTAAGACATACTAAACTTCCTACCTAAGTTGATTTGATCTGCTCAGTCTGGGACATATGTATGTACCTTTGAACCAAAGCGACATGGCATATCATTTTAGTGTGTCAGTTTTACTAAAAGATTTGGAAAAGAAAACACAAGAGTAGGCCCGAGAGTCTTTCGATGGAAATGTGTAGCCCAGGTGTCTCAGCCCGCCTCTTTACTTGTGGCATTGACTCTAATGCTCAGTTTTTGTTAGGCCTTTGAGGTCACTTTGTTGGATCAGCCATAATTAGAAAACTAGTTTCTTCCTCGGTTGCAAGAGCAGGACAAAGTCAGAGGGGCCTTATAGGCCAGAGCAAAGTACCTGGAGGTTATCAGTATCATTTGTTGGCACAGATAAGCAGGCAGTCGTAGCAGGAGAAGTGTTCACTGGGTTTGCCCTTTACCTCCTCTGATGGGAAACGAATGCTGACCTGGGGGTATTCAGTAGAGCCTATTAATAAAGGTTTGGGATTCACGTCACTGGGAGGCACAGGGTTTGGGTATAGAGTTTCTATACTTTTAGTGCTTACCTGAGAACTTAGTATGATGAATACGATATTTTAGCAGTGGTTTTGAGCTATTTTATTTCTATTATGAGATATATTGCTGTTCTTTTTATGCTTTTCTGCAAAGATTCATGGAATAAAAAAACAAGTAAGCAAGAATTTAGTTAACTCATATTTTTAACTGTAATGATACTTTAATCGTAACAGTGATTTAATTAAAAACTTGGAAAGATAAGAGGAGTGGTGGGGACTAAAGGGTTTTATCCAAGTAATAACTGGTTTTCTCACTGTGTGTAATCTGACCCCGAAGTAGAAATTGTCTTTTAAGAGAAGAAATGCAAATATTAAGCCAGTAATAACTTAGTGATATTTATCACTGAAGAAATGGAGGAGCTAGTTCTCTCATCTAATTTAGTTTTCATTTATATACAAAAATCTATATTTTCATTTATGAATTTATATGAATTTACACTATGAAAAAGTATTTGATAGAGTAGCAATGGTGTTTTTCTACTCCAGTTCCACTCATGATAGTATAATAAAGAAAATTTGTGTTCTTACTGCCTGTTAACAAGTTATTGTTCCGTAGTTGTTTTAAATTTGCCTTAATTATATGCATTGTGCTTAGGAGAAAAACAAATGTACTACATGAAGTTCTTTAACTGATTTCTGTGTTTTTAAGCCAGTACAGAGGATTATCTTTTCATTTAGGCACACTTAAACACAGATTGTGTTAGAGAAGTGTATTCACTGTACCTTTACAGTTTTCATTATAATTCAAGATATGTTCATTGATTATGAATGACTTACTTAAGGATATATATAATTAATTACACTCTTAGAATTTTTAGGTAAATGTATAGGAGCTATTCATTAAGATCTTATTTTTTTGTCGAATACTTAATACTTTTGTCTTACTTTAGATTTAAGAATATGAAGACCTATAGGAATAAGAAAAAAGCAATAACTTTAAACCTGCTCTGCTTAATTGCAGTACAGTATCTAGTAAATAATTCATCACTCTTCTACATAACTTTTAAATTTCATCTTTAAGCTCCTTTTTTTCCACTTTAAATTGTTTAGAGGAAAAATAATATAACTTCAGTAAGTTAGGCCCATCTTTCCCCCTCAGTGACATTTTATCTTAGAGCACATAAAGAATAAACTTAGTAAAAGTATTTTCCTGTAATTTACTCTCTTAAGGTACAGTATTTTATTGGCTGATTTAGTGGATTTTAATGAAAATTCTCCTTAAACTTGCCTGGTTGAAGGGGCAAATTCAAATCCACTGACGCTAGCTCCTCTGGCAGATGACTAGTTACCCGAAATGAGTTCTGTTAACATCTACTCAGGAGTTATGTAGGATCGATCAGTCTTCTCTTTCAGTATGGTAATTGTACAGATGCTTGAACACCATCATTATGCCCTTCACTTATTTTTTCTCATGCTCCCAGTTTAACAAGTCCACATGTACAAGTATGGTTTCCAGATCCTTCATTCATCAGTGTCCTTTTCAAAATAGGGAACCAAGAATTGCATCTAGTATTCAGATGTGTCGTGACCAGATTGAATACAGTGGGATCTGCGTCCCCTGTTTTGGCCATATTTAGCCCTTGAGAAAAACAGCACGCAAGACAGAGAGTGTATCTGTTTAGTAGCTGTTACTTTATTGACTCATAGCAAATTTGTTTTCTTTTTTATTGAACCTTCTATGTAAATTCTGGACATTCATCTTAATTTTGGATAATCAATATTTGTGCCTAAAATTTACAGTTTTACATTTATACTTGCGTAATTTTCACTTTGTTGTTTGACCTGTCATTAAGTCTTCTCCTCATTTTGGCTTCAGATCTCAGTATGTGTCACATCAGCCAGTCTTCCCATTTTGTGTTGTCTGTAGATTTGAAAGACCTGTCTTTTTTGTATCTTAGATTTTTTGCACAATTTTTCATGGATAAGGTCTAATCACAGGTGTAGTTATAGCCTCTCCTGACGGATCTTGTTCCAAGATTTAATGCTTAATAAGATTGGTAGGTCAGCTGTCTAAGAAACTCCTAACAGAATTCTCTCACCTTTCAGATTTTTAGCAAACTACTTCTCAGGGTTGTTGTGTTCCACGTCCATTTGTTAAATATTTGTTCTCAGGTTTTACTTGCTGTTCTAGTCCTTTTCTGCCCATGGGTGATGCCATCTACACCAGTGGCTCCCATCACCACCTGTATGCCAGCAGCTCACAAATCTGTTTCCCATTAGCTTTTAGTCTTCAGGCTTATACATCCCAACTACATACCACTGCAGCTATTCCATCAAGCCATTCACATGATTGTTCATCTATCCTTTGCCCTCCAGCCTCATTACCACTACCTGAGAATAGGCACCCATTACTTTCCATTCAGCTCACAGCCTGGTTCCTCTCTCCAGTCTTAGACCCTTAACTTTACAATGCCACTTGGGTTAGATCTTTCTAAAATATAAATGTGGTCATACCATTCATACTGATTTCAAAATAAAGTTTAAACTCGGCTTTACCAACAAGGTTCTTCAGAAATTGGCTACAGCCTATCTGCCTTTAATGGATAGACCAATCCATTTTCATTTTAGTTATTTAAGGTTAATACTTCTCAGAATAGTTTTGAAGGTTGCATGTAAATTGAATTTTAGGCAGATTTGGTGTTATTAGTGAAGTCTAGACTCATTGCCCATGTGCTGTCTTTGTAGACATTACGAGAGACTTCTAGACATTCTAGAATACTAGAATGCACTGGAGAAACTTCTGAAAAGTCTCATTCAAGTTGTTAGTTGAATCCCATTGACTTGTTTAGAGTATGCTTTGTATTTATCTTCATTGTTCTTCAATTGGTAGTGTTACTCAGTATATATAATGTAACTTTTAGTAAGCTCTAATTAAAGTTAACCTTTTAAAAAGTAAAAAGTAAAAAAAAGGCTTTAACTTTTTGCCTGAGATAGGCTTTCTAGGGGTTTTTGGCAGTGTAGTTTTAATCGGAATGGAGAACTCATCAATTACTTATCAAACAGGGGAATAATAGACGCCTGCTAGGAATACTGGTTCTAAGGGGTTTGGGGAAGCAGAAGTGATAGGTAAGGATATAATAAAAAAACACACACAACTGCTGGAAAACCACTTCACAGGGTCTTTAAAAATAATTATACGTTCATCTCTATGGAATTTTCAAAGTGCTCTGATATACACATCTCCTATAATGAGATAAAGAAGTGGATGCTGATGACGTACAAAGAAGTTGAGACTTCACCAACACCGCGTGGCTGGATATTGGTGCAGTTGGTATTAGAATCTAGTTTTCTGACCCCTAGTTTCGTACTTCTTTCCAAATTAACAGGAACTGTTGCTGAAGTGGTGGGTAGGGTGGGAGAGCAAGCAAAATCACCAGGGCACCGACAGAGACTAGTAATTTCTAGTACATTATTAAAATAATGGAGTGTTCAGAATTATGTTACATATAGAAATAATCATGAGTGCACTTAGAGGTACCAAATTGCATCAGTAGGATAGGAAACATTCCAAATATTCAGAAGTGGAAATATGAATTTGGAGGATTTCCTATATTCAAAAACACTAATATGGCCAAATTCGTAAGTTACCATGTCTCTTCACTGTAGCTCCCAGTCCTGGAGAGATAACCAAGAGAAACCTGCTCAGCCAGGAGATAGGGTCACTCTTCTGGGGCTGAGATGGCCGCTGCCCCTTTCTTCCCACTTAGCCACAGCCATTGCTACCTGATGATAGTATTTGCGATTGGGGCTTGGCTGGTAGTGGGAAGGCCCCCCGTGTCTTCTGCAACGCAGTTAAATCCTATGGAATGCTGAGGGGTTGCAAAGCAGCAGCAACTGGCAGAAGCAGTTCCTTTCTATTCGGAAACTGGTGAGAAAGCCCCTGTCAAGGATGGAATAGACATAAGGTTTGACAGATTGTAGGCTCTGCTGTGCTCTGGCTCTGTTAATATTATGCAGAGGACAGAATGCAGTCATCATTCAGGGGCATAGAAGATTACTTCACATTTCTAGCACTGATGTTGGGGAAAAAACTGGACATGTTGAACAAGGCAGTGGAATCACAAACCACTATTCTCGGTCAGGATAATAGTAATAGGGGGCTTGTTAATTTAAAAGACAGATTAGTGTTTGTATAAATGTCCAGATACAGGTCACAAAGTACCTAGGAAACTTCACTGTGTCCTGGAGGAAATTATAAAAGTTTGCCTTTATGTTGTTATTTAAGCAATCCAGACTTGGGGAAACTATGGGCAAGAAAAGCTTTAAACCTTGGTACTTAGCAAAGGATAAAGAGTAAAGCAAAACAGGGTAAGTTTTAGTGTCCTTGTGCAGGACCTCAATTTGTATTTCCTCATAGAAATGCTATTCAACACAGGTAGTGATTATCAATACTACCTACTTTTGTATAGCACTTTATAATTTACCAAGTACTTTGCTGGATACATTTGAAGCTCAAGAAACTGAGATGGATGGGGCAGGAGTTACTCATTTCACTCATGCAGCAAAGATTGAATTGCAAGCACTGTTCTAAGTGCCTAGGATGAGCAAAGCAGAGTCTCCTTTCTAACGGGGTTTCTATGCTAGTGAGACAAACAGTAAGCAAAACAAAACCAGCGCAATAAACAGATTCCATAGGATGCAACAGGTGATGAGTTAACAGAGAAGAAAGAGCAATTTAAGGGGGGATTGATTGGCAGTGGGGTGGGGCATGGGGGGTAGGTAATTGAATAAGGTGGGGCAATTAGTCATTGAATCCCAGGGTGATTGTAGTCTCCGCAGATAGCAGCCAGTACAAAGGTCCTAAGGTGGCACACGTGTGTGCGGTGGGTGCAGAGAACAGCAGAGAGGCCGGTGGGTGTGCAGTGCGGTGGAGGCGGGCAGAGTGTCGTAAACCCTCTGATTAAAGATAAACTCAGATTCTGATAGTGTAAAAGACTTAACCAAAGCCTCGTTAGAACTCAGAACATGGATTCTCCAGCCTACAGCTGCTTCAGTGAAAATTCTCCTATATTTCCAGAAGGGGTGAATAAAGAAAGGAATTAATAACTAACAGCCTTCCTACGATTTGCATTTTATTCTTCAGTGCAAAACAGCCCCTGTCACCTCAGCTAGCTAGAGGTTATTTTCACACGTGGTTTTGCTGAAGCAGAAAATACAGGCTAGACACCATAGTAATCTTTACTATGTTTTAAGTTACTAATTAAGTTGAAAACCTAACATTTGATTTTGCTTTCAGGAATAACATACTCATCATGTGAACTATTTTACTACTAATTTAGAAGACCTTAATTTATAGTTATATTTTTCATTGTACTTTCTGTAATCTTTCTTTTAAAGATACGGGCATACTGCGGGGAACGCAACACATGATGCAGTAGATTCTGCCATCAATGTTGGTGTGACTGCCTATAATATTGACAACATTGGCATCAAAGCCATGGTGAAGAAAACTGCCAAGCAAACAGGGCACACTCTCCTTGAGGACTATAAAATAGTTGATAATTCCAAGGGGAAAAATGAAGCAGAAGCAAACGTAAACATCAAAGAGAAGGATGAGCGGACCGAAGAACCAGAGAAGAATGAGGCAAAGAAGAAAGATAAATGACAGAAGGGCCGTGAGTCGCCTATACCAAAGCCTTACAAGATGGACGCAATTTTGTTAAATAAGCTTATGTGGAATTCCCCACAAATTAACTAGTATTTTTTTAATGTATTCATTCCTACATAGCGACTGTTTCATGTATTTTACTTATATAAGAATCAGTATTCTTGCATCTGGCCTTTAGAAATACAGAGGTATATTCTCAGTAAGTTTATTTTTTTCTCAATGTGCCTACAATATTTTGCAGATAAAATAAGACTATACAAGTGCTGTAAACCTCATTAAACCTAATGTTAAACTATTTTTGTATTTGTGATCTTTCAGAACAAAGTTGGAAATTATGTATTTACATAAAATTTGGCATTTAGTAACTAACCTTAGTTCTGTTAGTAATGGGAAGGTATAATTTGTCTCCTGTTTCTGCACAAATTGTCGATTTTTTTAGGTTCTTGTCATAATTTTCAGTGTGTAAGCCAAACAGAAACTAAGAATTCTTAGGTAACATTTAAAAGATGTTCAAAACAGATTAGACTAATAAAATGAGGCTTTATAAAATTAAGTTGGGTAGTCTTTCTGATTTAAAATGAATACAAATAGATTTTTAAGTCTTCTGGATTTAGACTGGTATTAATCTATTAGGAGTCTAGGTAATTCGGGGGTGTGAATTGTATTAAAATTTGAAGTAATTGTCATCAGCTTAATTGGATAAGAAAGTAAAGAAATCATTTCACCATATCTACTTCTGTAAGTGCTCCCAAAAGGCTAACACTTTGTAAAGACTAAAATATAAACAGAATGGAGTTTACAGATGGTAAATATATTTTTATTTTGGATTCAGTCATTGGAATATTGGGAAAGGTTTTATTCATAAACAAGGGAAAGAATGTGAAGATTTAGGGGTTAATCCATAGTTGGTGGGTATAACAGCTTTCCCTTTGATAGAAGACGACATTTGCAGACCTATGTGCTATAAATAATGTAAGTAAATGCCTAATGGGATTTTACTTCTGTCTACTGATTTTAAGAGGTTGTATTGGTTTTCATATCTATCATCCATTCTAATATTTCAGAACCTCTAATGGCTACTTAGTTTATTAGACTTTATTTGAAATTGCCTAAAGAATGTACTTGATGAATAAACTGTCTCTAAATGACTTGAATTACTTGGCCTCAAACGTATACATGGGCTTTTATTTCAGGAATGCATAGACTTAGTAGAACCTTTCCCTAAGGCCAAGGCTAATATACTAGCTGTTTAAGTGGAAATAAAATTGAATTGCTCAAGAGCTTCCAGTCAGTCTTTGCCTTGTTAAAGAAATGAAATGATACATAATGGAGCCTAAAGTTTAAAAAGTTGCCTTAGACCAGAGGTCAGGAAAACTGAATTTGCCAACAGGTGTCTGGCTGTCCATTCACTTCATTCTACTCTAAGCACTTGGTGCGGGTTGCCTGTTCAGATTAACAGCAAGATAAAATTTTGATAAATGGAGTTTCTGTATCAGTTATCCAGAGAAACAAAACCGTTGAGCTATATATGCACATATACACACACACACGTATATAAAGAGATATGTCATAAGGAATTGGCTCCACAAATCACAGAGGCCGAGAAGTCCGAGCATCTGCAGTCAGTGATCTGAAGGCTCGGGAGAGCTGACGTGTTGTTCCACCCAAGCCCGTGCTGTGATTTCCAGTCTGAAGGCTGGTGGGCCAGAGACCCAGAGAGAACCTTTCAGTCTGAGCCCGAAGGCCAGAAAGACCAGTTTACCAACGGAGCGGTCAGGTCAGGCCAGGGGAGTCCCTCAGGCAGCCCTCCGTTCTCTTCAGGTCTTCAGTGGACTGGACGAGGCCCCCTGGCCTTACGAAGGGGAGTCTGCTTGCTTTACGCAGTTCTGATCCGAGTGCTGATTTCACCCAGAAACCCCTCAAAGACACACCCAGAATAATGCTTAGCCAAATGTCTGGACGCTCTGTTGCCCAGTCAAGCTGACAAAATTAACCAGCACAGCCTTTTAGCCCCGTTTTCAATGTCTAGAGGCCTTTTACCCAGCTCTGCTTATTTGAGATTCAACAGAGTATTAAAAATGACAGTCAATATTTACTGCCACCTAGTTTGTCTTCACTTTGCTTCTGAAGACTGTCCCTCCCTGCCCCATGCTGTACTGAGTAGTTTTCTGGGAGTTGCCAGGTACCAACTGGCTGTAGAAATAAGGAGCTAAAGTTGATGTAGTGCTTATTGCTTACTATGAACCAGTAGTGTTCTAAGGGCTTTTACACCGATTAACTCATTTTAACCACCCAGCATTCCTGTGAAGTGTATTACAATCTTCATTGCACAGTATAGGAAACAGGTATAGAGAGGCTGAGTAACTTTCCCAAGACAGAACAATATGAAAGGAGGTCACATGTAAGCCTCAAAAAGGAGCAACTACGTAGTAGAGCGATCGTTAGGCCGACGGCTTAAACGGGTGGCTAAGGAGGATGAATGGTCTTAATAATTTCCTCTGACTCCAGCTGTTTAACACTACTTGTATTTTTTTATAATTAAAATTCCATGGGCTTGACAGTTCACAGAAAATTTCCCAAGATATTAGCAAATAAATCAGTAGTCCTAGGTTTCGGTGGGCTTTTGTCTTTTTCTCTGTCTGCCTTCATAGGCATTTTAGGGTAAGCTAAGAAGAGCTAGGCTTAGGGCGTGTGGCCAGAAATCATCTTATGTTCCACTTTTTAGGTAAGTCTGATAAATAATGCTCTGTTCAAACAGAAACTACTTCTCCGGTCTGTTCTTACCAGACTCAAAACCAAGTGTTTTTAAATAGACTTTCTAATGGATTTTGCTGGAACATGTTGTTGATTTCTGAATAGTTTTCAAAACTTTCTATTCACAATATAAAGATGAATTTTAAAAATCTTTACGTATATAGATAAAGTGATGTCTTTTAATGTGTTCTAGGAAGTGTGCCCGAGAAGTCAGGGTTAGAGGCAGTACATTTTTCTACCCAAAGATGGATGGAAGCCAGGGTGACACCAACGCACAGACAGACCAGGAGTGAAGCGCAGCATTTCGATTACAATTCTGATGAAATTTCAAGTCGTAGCGCGCAGCGCTGAGCCATGCCGTGGACAGTGTCCAGGTCTGCCGCAGACGCGAACACTCTGGACTGGGCCGGCGTCCGGGCCCAGGCGGGGGCCTCGCGGTCCGCTCGTCGGCGGGGGGGAGGGCGCGGCCATCCTGGGGGAGCCGAACACCGGGGCTCGGCCCAGCGTTCACGAATGAACCTAGGCCGACGGTTCTCCTGAGCAAGGCTTGACCCTCCGCCAGAGTGGGAACAGGGATGGGGCCCCAGCTTTCGGGTCTTGGGGAGCAGCACTTTGCTGAAGGACGTGCTCCCGGGACAGGTAGACCACCTGCCTCTCAGGGTCCGCAGCCCGGCCCCGCCCCTCCAGGCCCCGCCCCTCCAGGCCGCGGGCGCGCCCTGTGACGTCACCGCGCGGCGCCGGGAGGTGGTGCCCGCGAGTCTGCCATGGCGACGCCTGATGACGGCGCTGCTCTTCCCCAGCTTCGGGGTGGCCGTCAGGTCTGGAGTTGTAAGCCGTGCGAGGCGCGGGGTGTGTTGGGGGTCTCAGTCTGACACTATGGAGGAAGGAAAAGGCGACAGCTTGGACGGCGTGAGCACAGAACGCCTTAAATGAGTTCTTGGAAGAAATGCACAGGAAATGAATCGCGGGCTCCCGCGCCGGGTGTAGGGGGTCCGCCGCCCGGGCGCGTCCTGCGAGCGCCCCCCGTTCCAGGCCGGCGTGACGCCGGCAGGGAGCACTGCGGGGGAAGACCGCCCCTTTGATTAACTAAGCATTTAGTGTCATAAGTAGGCAGGTCTTGAGAACTTAACAGTGACATTTTGTAAAAACGATGCCCCTCCTATGTACTTTTAAAAATACTCAGTGTTGCTACTTCGTGTTAGATTTTAAGTAAATTTTTAAAGCTACCCCAGCCCCACCGCAGGCCCCACAGAAGGTAGTTCTCCTGTGTGTCCCTGTGGCTCCTGTGCTTTCCTCTGTTTGAACTCCACCCGCGCTATTTTAATTGCTTGGCTGTATCTTGGTCGGGACTAAACTAAGCTCCCTGGGGACAGGCTCTATATTCCCCGAGGCAGTAAGAGTCTAAGGACTTCAGAGGAATCCTGCATTAATTCGAATCTTACCGCTCAGTAACTCATCACTCTTACCACTCTTAGTGATACTCTTACCTCTCAGTAACTACATGATTTGGGGCAAATTGATGAACCTGTTTAAGCCTCAGTTTTCTCACCTCTACGACTGTTGTTGTCAACCTGAAAATAAGAGCCCCAAGGAGAAGCAAAGGGGTGTTTATCTGGGATCAAAGAATTGCAGTTTGGGAAGCAGAGATGCAGGCAGATATCCAAATAGTGTTCTGCTTGTAGGGTGAAAGCAAGGGGCTTTTATGAGGAAAGTGAAGGTGGGGGGTGGACAGTTACATTAGTCGAAGCAAAGAAAAAATTGTTTTGGTATTGGGCTGATTAGGTTACACATTAATAGCTACTGTTGTTAACCAGTGAAACGGGCTGGCATTCGTAAGTCAACTGTCCTGTCTCCAGAAAGTCCACGACCAAAGAATAGTCTTATGATGATGGTCGGGATGGATGCCCCTTGTCCTGTGGACCTTTAAGGACCATTGCTTGTAAAATCACTGTGGCTTCTTGACCCAGTCCAAAGGTTTGGTCCAGTTCACACAAAGGTGGTAAGGAGGTCTTCCTCCAATGGCCTCTCCATTTTCAGGCGGCTTCAGTCGTGTCAGTTTTTCACAGTGTACAGTCGTTCTCTCATACCTCATGCGGTTGCCAGGACTGAGTGAGGTGTACGGAAAGTCCTTTTTGCCTTGCTTGTGATACGCTTTCAGCGGAAGTCAGCCACTGGTACGGCTGCTGTTTGGTCACGTGTTCACTGTAGTGTCTTCAGCGCTTCGCACGATGCCTTGAACATAATAGGCGTTCAAAGGTTAAGTATTGAGCAAATGGTTCTGTCATCTCACCTTGGTAACTAATATGCTATTTACTGATGTCCTAAATAGAATCTCTGGAATGCTGTTTGTGTGCGTGTGTGTTATTAGTGTTTCTTTTTTCCTCTTTGTTCCAGGTTGCCAGTTGTTTCCTGTTGCCCTAGCTATTCTTTTTTAAAATAATTTGAAGCTCCTTTGCTGGGCTTTGAGAAGCCAGAGAAGCAATTTCTTGGGATCATATTTAAGTTAAGAGTAAAGGACTTCTGGCGGTCACCTGGGGAGCTTTGAGCTTTAGTGCATATCGGTGTCCTTTCGGGACTGGATAGACAGAAACCTTCATCTGCCTGATTCCTGATTCTCAATCATGCCTTCAATAAGTGATGTTTCATAATAAATTGTCCCTGAAGTAGGGGTGGATTACTGTGTGTTAGTCTTCTCATGTTAATTTTTAGTTGAGTTAGGATTAACAAAATGTTTTTAATAATAGGGATATAGTAGAACTCTCAGTGCTTGAATAAGACACAAGATAGAGGAACTGGAAGCCAAGCTCAATGCCGATGATGAAAGGAAATTAGTAAATATTTTTGTATGTGACTCTTGTGTAATTATTGTTCATTTTACCAAGGTACCTATAGTGCATTACATTGTATATCTGGAATAATAGTACCAAGATTTCAGAATTGCTTTTTGGCAGCATTAGTAATAATTTATTTTAGAGTCTTTTAAAACTGGTATTTCAGAGTGTCAACCATGTTGCTGTATAACTTCTCATCTACTTACAAGTTCAAAATGTTCATCAGTTAGCAAAACCTTTGTCACATGACATCAATACATCATTTCCTTAGTAGATAATAAAATATAATAGATTTTCTGTTTAACTCATGTAAATACCCTTCATATCTTAATTCTGGATTGGGATATAACTTAAAATTCCTATCCAACTTTTGGCTATTTGTGTTGGAAAAATGAGGAGGGGGCAGGTGTTGTACACATCCCCATACATCACACACACATACATGCCGTCACATACCCTTGAAATGTATAATGCATGTAAGACATGAATTCACTCCACAGCTTTTGATTGGGACTCTGCCATATGTCAACGCTTCAAATGGAAGACCTTTCTTTTTCCTATTCTAAAGAGGTTCACTGACTAGCGGGAGACAGTGTCAAACTAAAATAGGAGGATGAGCAGTGATACAAGTCCTGCACGAGGAGAAAGGGAAGCTCAGGTACGGGGGACCTAACACAGCTTGTACGAGGGCAGAAAGGCAGCCTTTCCAAAAGAGGCAGTCCTCGAACTGAGTGCTGAAGGGGCGTGGGAGTCCGCTAGGATTATGGGGGTGGGCTTCGGTTCTCAAACCCCGTTAGACTTCTCTGTGCTTCTGTGGGGAAGCCGTGAACAAACAATTTTAGTAGCCATATGAGAGATACTACATTTCACAAGTACCCACTGCTCTGTTGAAGCCTGAGTCGGAAACACTTCTTTGTCCCAAGGTGACCGTTGCTCCCTGTGTCCCCATACCTGTGTCTTGGGCACACAGTTGGCTGTGGGTGCAGACCCCAGTGGGCATTGGCAAGGCTAGCTGGAGTTGCCTCGTCTGTCTAGTTGAGGTAGATCGGACAAAGCAGACCACGCCCACAGGCACACACGCAGTGCAATGACTGAGCCCACCAGTAAGATGTGAGCCCGACCAGTCATACTATCAGAAAGTCTTCTCCTGGGGAGGAGCTGGTGTGTGTGTAAAGAGAGAAGGTAAAATGGTAGGTAAGAAGGTTCTTAGTGGGCCAAAGCTAAAGCCTAAGGTGAAGGGCAGAAACACCCCTTCCTTAATATTAACTAGTGATGGTGCTTTTGTGACTGCCCCATTCACTTTGCTGCCCCGTATAGCCTGAAAGCAGGGGGCAGAGTCATGCCAACTGTCCGCGCAAGATCTGAACTCACTGCTGTGGTATTGGTGACCCTTTACTGGAGCAACGCAGAAAACTCCATGTTACGGAATTGGAAAAATAAAGGAAAGACCATGGCAAGTGAAATAAAATATTTTGTTCAGCAGAGATGAGCCCAAGGATGTAAGGAACCCTGTAACAAGGACTTCAGCTTAGTCTCCCCCTTAGGAAGCTGGGCAGGCATTCTGTTGCAGGCACAAAGTGGAAGAAAAACAACTCAGTAGTCAGGCTGGGTGGAAACCTGAGTGTGTCTATTCCAACCTTATTTAATATAGAAATGCATATCTTATACCTGTCTAAAAACATTTCCATTCTAGTTCCTCTGAAATACCCATCCACGCACATACAGATTCATTTGCATTTATGCACACACACGCAGAAATATAATCTGTATAAACTCCAACAGCAGAAACCCCATAAAATTACCCTGTAATGTGAAACCTCACTGGGCTCACCCACCTGCCTTTGCTTTTGGTTGCCTTAGTAACGTCTTTTCCTTTTTGAGAGTTCATTTTAATCCCTGATAAATTACTTACATTTGTATGTTTTATATTTTACAAAGCATTCATTTGTTTTTCATTCATTCAAATACTTATCCTTTAAAAATCATGATTTATACTGGGACCAGGGCATGCTTAGAAATAATCTTTTCCTCAGAATACTTGCTGAATTTGTATTTCAAGAAACCTCAGAAAAATATGAAAATCTTGTAAAAAATCAAGGGCTCTATAATGAAAATAAAAAGAATACTCAGCTAAATTGGCAGGACTTAACATTGCATTAATAATAACTTGTCCTCAATTAAATGTATAGAGTACACAAATTAATTTCATGCACATTATTTCAGTCTCACAACAACCCCGTGAGACAGTTTGTTTTAATATTATTCCTTCTCATACATGTGACACTAAGCTTAAAGAGGTTAATTGATTTTCTCAGAATCAGAGTCAGAAGGGAGAGTCTCTCTAAAAAATCCTGTGCCCACTTAACTACACCAGGCTATGCCAACAGCCCTTCTACACTGCTTATGAGAAATAACGTGTGTTTTAATAGGTGTAGGTAAAACACTAAACTGACTGCTATGTCCACAGAGGTCCTGAGGACCAGAACATCTATGGGGATTGCTCTTTGAATAAGTGTAAACCTTTAGTGAAAGATACAGAAAAATCTTGTATTTTTGTTAATAATGAATCAAGGGAGAAATATCTTTTTTGCACACTTCTCTCTCATTTCCAACCCAGAAATAACCTTGTTTCTATGTCTTGGAGAGTCAGGAAAATAACTCTTTTGCTTTTTTAAAAAAATTGGAATAATGGCAACGTATTTTTTTCCTTGGCCATGGAGTCATATCCCCATCTTGTGGTATTTGGAAATTGCTGCAAGGGCTATTTTAAGCTTAGTGTTTCTTCACTGTAGATAGAATTTTAACACGACCTATAGAATATAAAATATAAAATCCTACCTACAGGATATAAAATATTCTGTCTGTTTCTTTAGAACCTATGGTCAGTCCTCGCTCAAGAAACTGGGTATCACTCACCTTATGGACAGTAGCAATAAATGCCATTGCGACATTGCGCATGGTGTATCTAGGAACTGCTACCTCAGACG